GCTCCTACCTGCTGTGCCCCCGCTCCCCTGCCGGCGCGGTGGCGTCCTCGCGAGCTGCAGCCTCGAGCCCGCGCTCGGCAGAAGGAGCGACCAGCCCCTCCTGCGGGGCGCAGCGGCGCCTGGGCGCTTTGCTTTCCGCCACAGCACCGTGCATGCATGGCACCGGCCAGCCGGTGAGGCACTGTAAGTGTAGGGCACCCGCTGCCATTTTGTGAGGCGCCATGTACACGTGGTATCTGCTGCCATCTTGTGAGGCACCATGTGTTCAGGCCGAAAGGACTCGCTGTCATATCATGAGGTGTCGTTTGCTCAGGCTGTGGAGAGACTTTGCCATGTCGTGAGGTGCCACATGCACAGGGCACCTGCTGCCACTTCATGAGGTGCTGCATGCTCAGGCCACAGGATGCCTGCTGCCATTTTGTGAGGCACTGCACCCTCAGGCTGCTGGGTGCCAGCTGCCATTTCATGTGGTGCTGTGTGTGCAGGGCATTCATCACCATATTGTAAGGTGTCATATGCTCAGCCCACAAGGGTGCCTGCCGCCATTTTGTGAGGTGCTGCACGTTCAAGCTGAAGGCCGCCCACCACCATGTTGTGAGGGGTGGCGTGCTCATGCCACAAGGTGCTTGCAGCTATGTTGTGAGGCACTGCATGTTCAAGCTGCAAGGCGCCTGCCGCCATGTCATTAGGGGCCTTGTGCAGGTCACAGGGCACCCACAACCATGTTGTGACACACCATGGGTGCAGGGCACCGGTTTACATTTCATGAGGCACTGCATGCATCAGGGACGGAGGCACCAATATGTACACCGGCTCTCTTATCCAGAGAGGTCTGCTGCTTGTCGGGGGCTGAATAAAGGATGTTACAGAAAGGCTCCCAAGGCTTGTCCAGGAGTCTGACTATTACCACCTGGTACTGTTTCACGTGGGCACAAATGATGCCATGGGGGAACTGAGGGATATTAAGTGAGATTTCAGAGCCCTAGGGATGGCCATCAAAGGTATGGGAGCCCAGGTAGTGTTCTCCTCTATCCTACCAACGAGGGGAATGGATTCAAGGAGGAGAAGGCAGATATAGCAGATTAACAACTGGCTGCGCTGCTGGGCTTGGCAACAGGGTTTTGGTTTCTATGACCATGGGACTCTGATGACCACCAACTGGTGGGGAATGATGGGAACCATCTCAGCAAGAGGGGCACACGTCTCTTTGCCAAAAGGCTGGCCAACCTGGTTAGGAGGGCTTTAAACTAGGCGAGAAGGGGAAAGGGGAGTGTCACAGACAGGGCCATCAGTACCACACAGCCAAAGTCAGATGGCATCCAGCGGGAGCATGGGAGTGGGGAAGTGAGGATAGGATATGACTATAGAGGGTCCTCTTTCACCCTTCCTGGGGAACCTGCAGGCTTGATTACTTCCCTGAAATGCCAATGTGCGAAGCATGGGGAATAAGCAGGACGAACTGGAGATCTGTGTGCGGTCCCAGCATCATATCTCATTGGGACCCGCCGCTGTCTCATGAGGTGCTTCATACTCGGGCCACAGGGTGCCCGCAGCTATGTTGTGAGGTGCCGTGTGCTTGGGCTCCAGGATGCCCA